GGGGTGGGGAGTGGTGCATACGTTGATTTATTATAACATCTTCATGTGGGAAACTGGTTTGCTGATTTGTGTGGAAAACGGAAGGACAGGAGATAGAGGCGCTTCTACATGACTAGTGTCGAATGGGGTTGTGTTGAAGAGGGACTGTGTCTAAATGAAAGTCTCATAACTGCATACATGCCCCGATTAGAATCTGTAAGTATGTGCCCGTTTCTTTCCAGGGAAGCTGAAGCTACTCTTTACGAATCAACATTGGAAATTACTCTATGGAATAATCGCGAAGTTGAGGGCAACGTATGGCTTTGTGAAGCTCATGTCGCTCTTGCAATTCCTTGTACAGAAACCAGTGTCAGCACGATGCATGGAGAGCGTATTCGTGAGGTGAGCTGCGAAGTTGCAGAAAAGGTATCTGCAATTCTAAGAATGAATATATCAACAGAACTGTATCTTCCTAATGGATTTAAGAGGGGAAGGATTCGCAGTCTGATAGATGAGCTTTTATTCGCTATCATGTTTTTCCCTATTCCTCCTTTCCATCTTCTTTCGTTCCTTTCAGAATTTGCATCAGTAATCGCAAACACCAAAGTAGAAGTCAGTCAGTTAGCGCAAACTTTGACAGACACATCTTTTCGAACGGTTTCTGACAGCTGACCACACCAGACCAACGTTCAACAGTTGATCTGGGGTGAAACAACTGTAATTTAGGCAGGTTGAAAAAGTAACCGTTCAGGGTACGGTAAGTAAGGTCAGTTAATGTCACAGCGGTGTGGTATAACGAAAATCGGCCCTTCAATATGACTTTTCTATCCCCTCCTTGGCACAACACTTTCGGTGGATACCCAACGGCACAAGGCGAGTCGTTTTTAAGTAGTTGAGAGAGAGGGGTTATATGTAGCTTGCCATCTTGATTTATTGAGAGGGGTCTATTCATGACATGATTGCAATAAAGTTTATTTGGAAGGAAGTGGAGAATTCCTTCTCTTTCCCGTCGACCCAATTTTTTTAAGAAGTCAGAAGAGGGAACAAAGCCGTGCTAGACGTCCGATTTTTCTCATTGCCACATGGCTGTGAGTTCCTGCCACAGCACGAACGGTTCCTTGCTACTAACTGCTCAAATTACAATTATTCCAACCCCATCCGATTAACTGTTGGACGCAGGTTACCAGTTGTCAAACGATTATCTCTACCCCCCCCCCCCTCCCATCCCCCCAGTATTTCTCATTTGTTCGATTTTTCATGAAGTCAATTAACTTTCACCTCCAATGATTCTTCTTCTTCTTTCTCACCTTGCGCTGAGCTGTCTCGTTCTTTTTTGACAAGTTCCTGCGGTTCCTGGATTACCCTAATGTGAACCAATCTTCAGGCTTTCGTCAGGTTTCGGTCATGTAATCGTAAACATTTATTCGTGATCCCTCGTTCCGAGATTCCTTCCAACCAGCAGAAGTTCGAAGTCTCCATTGAGATTCGTAAAATTGTTGGTTATCGGTAAAGATTTGTAATACTTTGAATCTGTTTGCAAACTGTTCAAATTTCTTCAAATTTCAACACTGGTTCCAGTTGGAAATCGATGTTTACAACTGATTTCTCCAAACCGTCCATTCTTTCGGATTTGTGCATCGCGTTCCCGAATACATCTCGCAAACTCTATGTCAATTCACAGGTACGTGTTTTTGTAGTTTAGGGCTGGGATTCGTGCAAGTCCGATGTCTCAAGTCACTATCTTCTTACGGGCGGTAATCTCACCACGAGTGCGGTAAATATACATAATAAGTTACTCTGGTCCTTTATCGTTTTATTTTCGGCTTGATGGAGGGGAGGGGTATTTTGAACTTTCGCTACTCCCCATCGAAGTGCCAGCCATCAAGTAAAGACTGTGAAATCTTGTGACAAGAAGTGATACCAGTCGACTTTATAGAGGCCACTTGTTAACTCTTGTAAAAAGAAATACCTGTCAACTCTTATAAAACAACACGATACTGGGGAGCAGCAAAAGCGTGAAATGCCCCTCCCTCCAACAATACGAGCTGTGCTCTAATTTTCTTAATGTATATCTCAGAAAAGTTGAAACATTTGACTTTCGGTGCTCGGCAAAAACCCATGGGTGGATGATCCGACCGGCAGATTTGCCATGGACCCCAACGGCTGGCTTGAGAATTTCTGTGATTGTTAAATAGCTGTATGATATTTCCTGTGAACTGTGTTTACGGTGACACTTCTACGTAGATGTTGTTTGAGCGAACTCAGAGACCAATTTGCATTTCAAGCGTAGTTTGGCTTAGTGGGGGCATTTTGCTGACTCCGTTCGTTCGCTTGCGTTAGAGAAATAAAAATTTCCATAAAGCTATGTCCGTCGTTTATATCTGACAAGAATCCACAGGCTCACCAAGAAGGGACGTGTAGTTTAGTATAATCTAGGAAGTGCGCCCTCCCCCTCACATATCAGATGGAGAGAATATGACTGTGGAGAACTCACAAGATTGTTACCGTGCAAAAGTGTAAGAAACGTTGAAACACACTGTGTCCACGGATTGTTTCAGTACCTGTCCGTACATTCACCATACTTTGCGCAACGACTTGCAACACCCACTACTAGACAGAACAGTGCTTCGCTTGCCGATCACACTTCAGAAGTGGACGATATGAGCGATTACGATGTGATGAGCTTGAAGTTCGTCAGTTTCCGTAACCACAAGAAACAGTTGTCGCCTTATTGACAGCTGAACTGCACCCGGCAATGCCAGTATTAGTACTTTTCCTCAGGAGCGATTTTTGACGGCTGCGAGCTGTCAAACGATCCGGTCACAGACATTCAGTTCCAACAACATTCTCTTGAATGGTAACTTATTTTCCCATATATTCGATTTTAAATCGCAGCTTCGGTTTGAAGTGTCCGAAACTGGTTTTCCGAAGACTCTTGGTGCGCAGGGTAGTAGTGTTCGGAGAAGGCTACAGGCATGTTCACGCGGATCAGTGGAGCGTGCTAAGGGGGCGAAGAGTTGGCCGCAGCGACAGCCCGTTCTTTTTTTTTTTGCTTTCGGGAAGCGACTGTATCCCACCGTTCGTATCAGTTGTTGCCCACCAATTATTGTCGTTTGCTCGCTTAGGCTGTCGTCGGAGAACGGAAAATGAGCTGGCCAGGCGCGCCAAACTCAACTTCTCGGACAAGCCCCAGCGCCTGCCAATGAAAACAGCTGCATGGAGTTTGTGTCGTAGAGCAAAAAAGGAGCAGTGGTTGTGTATTCCCGTGCCGATTCTTCCTTCTACTTACCTCTCTGCCTCCCTTTTATCCGCAACTTCGTAAAGATCGTTGCACTCGCGGGCAGTCACGCCCCCTGTCACCCTCAGATATGGACTGTGCCTACTATTTTCCTGCCTTACACAAGCGTGCAAACTTATGAGAACTGGTGATCGTTGGAGTGGCTGGATTAGTGCAGTAGAATATACAGTCTTGTTTTCCGCGGCTCCTGGAGTGTCAGGGGAGAGGAAGGCCGGACCATGCCAGCCCATTTTCCACCAATTATTGTCTCTTGCTCGCTTCAACAGTTGGTCGAGAGCGAAGTGGCGCCGCGCGAAACCCAGTCCCCAGCATCCGCAGCGACCAAGACTGTATTCTTTTGAGGAAGTGTTCGGATTATTTGAGTGTTTGCACTGACGCAAAGCCACAAACGGTTACACTAGTTACGGGGATTCCCACTATCTTGCTTCGCTAACTTGGGGTACGCTTAGTATTTTCTTGCTCTGGTTCCGGCTAGTAGTAGAGGCGGTCGAATTCCCTCAGTCTATCAAGGGCTTTTGATCTACACAGCACCCGATAACTTTAGAATGAGGTAATTGGCATAAAGTGAGTTCAGCAAGGCAACGACGGATCATCTGATGCAGGCGATGGAATATTTACACTTGACGATGTGGAACTTGAAGACTTCCTTGTATTCCTCAACGCGATTTATCCGCCTGGCATTACAATAACAAGTGAGTGTTTGGGAACAATAATTTTGACCCAAAAAAG